TATTGATATTTATAAAATAAATATTATTGATATATATCCTTTATCGAATTTAATTTGACTTTGTTTAGGTAGTCAATAAATTATTTACAATTATTATACCTTATATATTTAATATATTGTATAAATATCTTTTTTTAATATTTCTATCTTTACTGTATTCCTAGATATCTAAATAATATTAAACATTATATATGATTTCATTTTGCATAATATGAAGCTTACGCAATTGCTTTTATTGATTTGAGATAAGACGCGCGTCAGGAGATATAATGAAGCTCCACTCAAAGGCATTAACATTATACATTAGCTGCGGGATTCTCCGAAGCATGATTGCGCAATTAACAGGCGAAGTTAAATCACTGCGATTTACCGAAACAACGGTAATAGTGAAATTTCTCGTCCTTACACAATGTAGGAAAATTTCGAGGCAAAGGGTGCGTTCTATCAAAGGGACTACTCATTGAGTTTACAGAGTTTCGAAGGGGCTTGTTGTAGCATACACAATTACACACCTACCCTACGTGCATGGTCTCCCGTCTAATGAAACCCGAGTTCTGGTGGGTTATTATCAGGACACCTTGTACGGTGGCTTGTATTGTGCGCGGTTCTTTGATCTATCTTCATAGAAGGCGCGTCGACTATCTATGATGGGTCGATCGACCTCTTGTCCTACATGAATCTTCAAAAGGGATCATCGGATCCTCCGTGGAATTGCTTCAGGTGGCCATATAACTTATTTGTAATCTTGGCCGGATTTATTCGCAACCACCTGTGGATCGCTATTAGACCCTTGAAATCCTTCGTTTTTTTTTACGAGCTACATTTTTCGGCAGTATTTTGCAGACCTTTACAGCAATGTTCTTCTACGTAATCTGATAAATCTATTGCAATTTTCTTGCAAAGGAAAATACACTGAAAGAAAAGATTGGCTGCTGCAGCCGATTAAAAATGCTATGCCATATCTAATTTTATTATCTCAATTGTTGTAGCAACTAATTTTTTTTTCAGTGTATTAATAGACAATTCAGATTAATTCTAAGAATATTGTCAGTATTATGACAGTATTCAAAAGCCCAAAAAAAATATATATATTATATACTTTTTTTTTGGCTTTTGAATACTTATATACATATATATTTATGATCTGCATAGAAATCTACGTGAGACAACGTTTCTTGTCGCATCTTTTAAAAAAATCTTTTTTAAAACTAAGGAGACTATTTAATATCATTATCTTTTTTAATTTTCATTCAGGATGTACGTCTTTGGAAATGTTATGTCATTGAAAAGATTAGTTAATAAAAGAAATACCATATTTAATCTGTTTAGTCTTTTTAATTTTCTTTTAAAATAATCTTATATTTTTGTATAGGAGATATCATCTATATCAAAATTTTACACAAAGATTCGTGAAGGAATGTAAGAATTACTTTTCTAAATTTGATTTTATTTGCGCATTGAAATGTCAGAATACAGATTTAAAATATATATTTTTGTCTATTTCTGCACGTCTATTTATATTTAAACGTTGTATGCGAATTAGAGAGAGAAAAGGGGGAAAGGGAGAGAGAGAGAGAGAGAGAATCGCTAACTTTTGGATGCTATAGACGATGTTTTACTTTCTGTCAATTAGAATTCTGCCAAGTCAGGATATGTACGCGAAAGTGCGGTTCTGAACTTAATTATTTAGAAAGTTATACATCAGTCTCTCTCGAAAGATTTGCGGCTCTCTTGCGTTATCCTCAAGTCGGATCCTTACGAATTTAAGGGAAAATTCTACAAGACCTTGTTAAATATTGTACGTCAGCAAAGCGAGCACGGTTAATTTCATATAGCCCAATGGTTGGAACAAAAGTTCGTAGCTATGAAATTTAAGCAGCTGTAATTCCGTTAAAAATGAACGAAATTTATGTTTAAAAAGGCTATTTT